AGACTTCTTCTTCTTCTTCTTCTTCTTCTTCTTCTTCTTCTTTTTCTTCGAGAAGAGAAGAGAAAAATATATATATTCGCGCTTGTATCGACGTTTCCAATCTCGAGTCATAAAGACGTCTGCCGAGAAACGGGCGGAGGATGATAAAAAGTGTTGGCGGACGTAACGACCGAGCGATTCATTTTTCTTTCAGCCCGGCTCGAGATCGCTATCGGTGATGTTTTCGACCGAAACCCAGCACCGGTGGGGCGCGTGCGAGCAAGGATACGCAACATAGTGGACGGCAGTTCGTTTCGCTGATAGCTACGCGCTCGTACATTACGCGCATCCGTATGCACTTGGCTCGATTCCATAACTAACAGCTCCTCCCACTGAAAATGTAACTGTTTCACCGGCCAATCGAGCGAGTTACGCTAATCGTTTTACCCCTTCCGTTATGCGTCCATTACGTTATTGCGCGTCGCGGACTCATCGCGAATGCGGCGATCTTGCAATCGAGAAAAGATCAGAGATCAAACCTGGGACTCTATTTTCCGAAAAATTCCTACTTTTTTCAACTCGAAACGAATCAAGCTTTTATCCTGATATTGTATGCTAGATGATATCGTATTTTATGTAATTGGAGAAAATTGGACGGGAAAGCCGTACCGATTCTATCGATCTACGAAATATAATCGTCGAATGGCGATCGATTTCTTCGCACGGTAGAATTTCGTTTGTTGACAGGGGACAAATAGTTCGTGCAACTGGATAGATTAACTGATTTTTCGTTCAAATAACCGGAATTTAGATTCAGATAACTGGATTCAATCGTAAATCTTATTTTTTGGATTATTTTGTACGTTATCTATCTACTCTGTCACGCTTTTGTTTCATTCGTAGCAGACTTTCATAATAATCGGAGTGAAACTTGGGATTAGTTGCGGTGTTCGATCAAAATAATATTTTACCTTTGAAATATCATCGAAATTTTTAAACGCGAGATGCATCAAATAACGTGTTTCTTCTCTCAGAAAAACTGACAGAGACAGCCACCCATTTTCGATATAAAGAAGACAGGTTCAACGATTTTCTCCCACGGATTTCGGCTAACCAATGCCCCGAAGCGACATTGCAGATTCTAATGAAACTCGAGCGGGGTCAGTTGGTAATTGGGTCGGCAAGGTGGCGAACAATCGAAAAGGAATCGCGAAATATCCTATTGGCAATCGTTCGATATCGTAACGGCTCGATCTGGTGGTGGTTCCATGGCGCGATGCGTCCGAGATCCTCTTTTATGGCCTATTCTCGAATCCCGCCCGCAGTGTTATTGCGCTTTCCGCGCCACCTTGCGCCAACTCTCGCTCTAAATCTTCCTTTAACGGCGTCGTTGGTCAACCGCCCCGATTCCCGACCCGGGGCTGTGCACGAAACCACTCGAACGTTTTCGATGGATCCCTGGCGATCGTTGCGAAAATATCGAAACCATTGGCGAAAAATATTGGTTCGTCAGGCGATGAAATGAAAAATCGTGATCGAGGTGTGCTCTGAATTGTGATCGAGTTGTAAGGATTTCTTTGCGAAATTTTGTTCCTCCTTTTGTTTTCAAGAAAGGGAAATTGGATTTACGTGCATACTTTGTCGATTCGATGCCTTTATCTAATAACAACCCTTCCGTTCATCTTGAGAGATCTTCGTTGGTTTTATAATTTAAACCTCATATTTTTAACAATTTTTCTTACTTTCACCGATATAAGTTTAACATTTATAGTTTTAAGAGATGAAAATTGTTGTTTTTGAAACGAAGATGATCCAGTTGGCGTTCCCTGGAAGACGTCGATGATGTCCTCTCATCGAATGTCGTCATCGAATGCCTAACGATCCCTTCGTTTCTCCTTAATTTCACCGTCCATCGTGGGTCGGCTCGCAGTTCGCGTCATTCCGCGCCGATATTCGCGCGCGCGTAGGCGCCTAATTACGGGTTTCTCACCGAGTGTGTCGCCTCGATCCCGCGGGAAGTGTCATCGTACAGAATAGAATGCGAGAGGGAAGAATCCGTTGCGACGCGGCCGCGAATTCCGACCTACCTATTGTCAGCCTGAAATATCAGGCGATCGACGACACCATCTTTTGATTGACACCAACTCGCGCCAATTTATTGCGCCCTTCATTGTGTATCCGCGATGACAGTTCGCGATAATGAGCTTACGCCTCGTACATCTTACGACAATCTTTACCGCTCTTGGTCTCGATAATTCGAGTGGTAAATCTTAAATTCGTTCCGAAAGATTTATTATTTATTTCTCCGAAACTCTCACTCCAAGTCAATTTAAGTCGTCGAAATTATCTTTCTTCTGTGTCAACACTTGTGCCAATTATCCCTTCGATCGATAATTCTTTGAAATTTAAAATCGAATCGTTAGAATATTTCTTAAAATTTTTAGAATCTCTTTCAATCGAAGGAAATTTCTAAGATCGGTGGAAGAAAGAGATACCGTTCGACGAAGGAAAAAAAAAGTCGTGAACACCGGATAAGCGCAGGGAGAGAAGGTTGTTGGAGGAGAGTGGCTCTCGTTTCTCGCCGTCTTTTCTTTTCCCCTTCTCTCTCTCTCTCTCTCTCTCTTTTTTCTTCTTCATTTCTTTTAATCTGGCCGTAACGTTCTGACCAGGTAACTGTGTCAGGACTGCTGTGCCCGAGATCACCGACGGCGGTGATCGTTGCGCAACAAGGCGGAGAGCGAGCAGATCCACGAGGATCCGATGATCTAAGGTCTCGAGGCGTGTATACACGTACACTGCCTCCTCGATTTACTCGGCGTGCTTAGTTTCTCGGGCGTCTCGGGCAACCTAAAGCTAAGAAGCTAACCAGAGATTGACCCAGAAAGCCAGAACTTGGATAAAGTTTCCGCCAAATATGGCGGCGCAAGGATGAGTAATTTG